TTGGCTTTATCATATCAAACATCTTTCCTCAGGGCTCTTGCCCAAGCTACTCTATCTGCTTAGAACCTCCTTGCCCTTTCTCCCAGTTGAATTCTTTTATTTATTTATTTATTTATTTTTTTTGCCAGTCGTGGGGCCTGAACTCTGGACTTGGGCGCTGTCCCTCAGCTCTTCAGTTCAAGGCAAGCGCTCTACCACTTGAGCCACAGCACCACTTTCAGCTTTTTCTGCTTATGTGGTGCTGAAGAATCAAACCCAGGGCCTATGCATGCAAAGCAAGCACTCTACCACTGAGCCACCTTCCCAGCCCTAAAATTTTAATTTAAAAAAAAATTAGCTGAGAAGCTTTAATGTCATTCTTCCAGGAAATGTTCTCTGAACCTTGGAATAGGTGAAGTGCCACTTGTATCCATGTGCATGGCTCCCTGTTCTCGGTGCTTACCATAATTGTAATTATAACTGGGGCTAGGAATGTGGCTTGTGGTAGAGTGCTTGCTTATAGCAAGCATGAAGCCCTGGGTTCAATTCCTCAGTACCACATAAACAGAAAAAGCCGCAAGTGGTGCTGGAGCTCAAGTAGTAGAGCGCTTGTCTTGAGCACAGAGAGGCTCAAGGACAGTGCCCAGGCCCTGAACTCAAACCCCAAGACTGGCAAAAAAAAAAAAAAATTGGCATAACTATTTGCATAATGTCTGTCTTTCCTACTATTCTCTAAGTGCCATGCAGCTGGGAACATGCCTGCTTTGTTCACTAAGGTGCCTTTAGAACCCAAGCAGTGCTCAAGAAGTATTTGTTGAGTGAAGGTCCCTTCTAACTATCATGTTCCAGGGTCTCCCCTCATAGTCCCATCTTCCTTCCTTCACCCTCCAACCTAATGGAGGTGCAATAATTACCTGGGGACAGGTGACATTGAAAGAGAGCTCTAGAAGTCAAAGGAGAGCTCAGCAAAGGACAAAGACCTTTATCATATCTACAGCCATCAATGGATTAGCCCCCAAACTCCTAACCAATGGTCTAAAGTAGTCTTTTTTCTTTTTTTTTTTGTCGGTTGTGGGGCTTGAACTCTGGGCCTGAGCGCTGTCCCTCAGCTCTCAAGGCTAGTGTTCTATGATGAACTCCAGCACCACTTCCAGTTTTCTGGTGGTTTATTGGAGATAAGAGTTTTACGGACTTTCCTGCCTGGGCTGGCTTTGAACTGTGATCCTCAGATCTCAGCCTCCAGAATAGCTAGGCTTGCAGGCCTGAGCCACTGGCGCCGGGCTAATCCATAAGGTTTAAATTGCTGTTCTGAGTAGCAGGAGGCAATTTTCAGCAATCCTGGTTCATCCTGCCCAGATGTGAATCATCCTTTGTCTACTGTATGAATGATCTATGTGCTATTTGTCCAATAATAGTTGAGGAAAAAAGGGGATAACCCTAATTACAACATGCTGGTATGATGGTTCTATTTTATTATTTTATTGTCTATTAATATCAATTTCAAACTATGCTTAATTCATAATTAAACTTTGGCATAAGTATATCTACATAGGAAAAAAACCCTCATTATATATGGGCTCCGTACTATCTTCAGTTTCAGGGGTCCACTAGAGATCTTGGAACTCCTGAGAGTAAGGGAGAACTACCGTACTCTAAACTATGGCAGATTGCTAAGGTATCAGTAATAAGATTTAAGCAAGTAACTAAAATACTGATTAATAATTAAGGGCTTACGTGCTAGGACTTAACCTAATGAATAATGTATGTGGCTTCTAAGCAAGGTATTAGGAAATAATTAAGGTATTAGTAGATGATCAAATATTAACTACTCAGATGTTAGCTGATAACCAAGGGATTAATTTAAAACCAAGATGTTAGCAGATATTAGTTAACCAATGACTAAGGTAACAGTTAACAGGGATTTAGAGTGACATTTCTTTTTTTTTGTCATGGGGCTTGAGCTCTGGGCCTGGGTGTGGTCTCTCAGCTCTTCAGCTCAAGGCTAGTGCTCTACCACTTGAGCCACAGCACCACTTCCAGTTTTCTGAGTGGTTTATTGGAGATAAGAGTTTCTCGACTTTCCTGCCCAGGCTGGCTTTGAACTTCGATCCTCAGATCTCAGCCTCCAGAGTTGGAATCAGTAGAAAGTTAACAAAGTCTACAAGAATTTAGGTCTAATTGAGAATATAAAATCCTCAATTATCCTGGAAGGGCCTGGGAAAATAGTTTGCTCATTTTTACTGTTCAGATAGGGTTTAGTCAGGGACAGGCATGGAGCTGGTACTCAGAGTGCTTACTGTGTAATCCAGTTTAATCTGGAGGGGAGGGAAGGGCAATTGCTTCAACAGTGACAGTATATAATGAGTGAGTGAGTGAATCAGTCAGAGAGCAAACTGTGACAGCAAAGCTTAAGGGAGGCACAAAGGCTAGGTGGCTAGGACAACAGATAACGTTAGCATGAATAGTTCAGTTTTGGATTGCTGAATTAATGAGATGCTCACTAGGCAGGTGGATTTGTGTCCAGCATAGATACAATGTGGGGGTTTTGAGTGTCATCAGGGTAATAAGATAGTGGTCAAAACTATGAGAAAAAAAATGTGGTGAGGGGCTGGGAAGGTGGCTCAGTGGTAGAGCGCTTGCCTTGCATGCCTGAGGCCCTGGGTTCGATTCCTCAGCACCACATAAGCAGGAAAAAAAAGCCGGAAGTGGCGCTGTGGCTCAAGTAGTAGAGCGCTAGCCTTGAGCTGAAGAGCTGAAGGACAGCGCCCAGGCCCAGAGTTCAGGCCCATGACTGGACCCCAAAAAAAATGTGGTGATTACAGATAAACATATGAAGTAGGAAAAGAGAGCCACCTAGAACCCCAAGGAAGACCAGCAGGGAAGGGGTAAGTAGGAAGAGACATCAGCAGAGACTTGAGATGAATGAAGCACTCTGAGACATAGGAGGGAAACTATGGTAGGAAACTCAATGGAGGAGAATTTGTCATGAAGAGCTTGGTCAGCAATGTCACAAATGGTTGAGAGGTCAAGTAAAATAAGATCAGAGAGATGTTCTATTAGATTCAACAATACGGAGCTAAGTAATTGTGAGTAAAGTAAGGTATAAATATGGATGGTAGACAAGGAAGCAGCCCAGGAGAATGTGGTTCTGAGATGCTACTATGAAAATGTTTGTGATTCAAACTGTATAGCCCATGATAATGACAATGCCTTGGGAAGGTTAAAATGTGTTTGTGACTTTATTTAGCTAAGTATCACTATTCCATAATACTGTGAAATATGTGAAAGTTATGTAATCACCTAATCTCAATTTTTTTTTTAAAGTAAGAGATCGGATGGGTCAGGAGCAAGGGTGACACTGTTGTCAGACACCTTGTACTCATATACTGTTTTGTAGAATGGGAACATTTTTGTACAACTACTTAGAGATAATAATAAAAAATTAAATTAAAAAAATTGAAAAAGTTTGTGATAGCTGTTTTTATGTTTGTTTGTTTTTTGGTCTTGGAGCTTGAACTCTGGGTCTGGGTGTTGTCCCTGAGCTCTTTAGCTCAGGGCAAGTGCTCTGTATCACTTCCAGTTTTCTGGTGGTTTATTGGAGGCTCATGGACTTCCTGCCTGGGCTGGCTTTGAAGTGTGATCCTCAGATTTCAGCCTCCTGAGTAGCTAGGATTACAGGCATAAGCCATCAGTGCCTGCCTGATATCTGGATTTTGTTGTATGCATATATGCATGAGCAAACATAGAACAGGGCTTAGAGTAGGGTTGGGGGCAAAGGATACAGGCTACCATATAGGGGCTCGTGGTTACCACACACCATCCCTTTACTCTGGGCATCTTTTGAGGACCTTGTTAAGGAAGGCTATGAGGGCCTGGGGTGCTATCCCTGAGCTTTTTTTACTCAAGGCTGGCACTATTACCATTTGAGCCACAGCTCTACATCTAGCTTTTGGTTAAGTGGAGATGAGAGTCTCATAGCTGGGTGCCAGTGGCTCACACCTGTAATCCTAGCTACTCAGGAGGCCGAGATCTGAGGATCACGGTTCAAAGCTAGCCCTGGCAGGAGAGTCTGTGAAACTCTTATCTCCAATATACACTCAGAAAACTGGAAATTGCGCTGTAGCTCAAGTGGTAGAGTGCTCGCCTTGAGCTGAAGAGCTGAGGGACAGTGCTCAGGCCCAGAGTTCAAGCCCCATGACCAACAAAAAAACAAACAAACAAAAAAACACCCCAAAAAACGCCCCCATGAGATACTTATCTCCAATTTACCACTCAAAAACCAGAAATGCATATATGCACACAACAGAAATGGTGCTGTGACTCAAAGTGGTAGAGCCCTAACCTTGAGCAAAAGAGCTCAGGGACAAGCCCAGCCAGGCCCTGAGTTCAAACTCCACAACCAGAAAAAAAAAAAAAAAAAAGCTAGCGGTTCATACTTATATTTCTAGCTGCTCAGGAGGCTGAGATCTGAGGGTCTTGGTTCAAACTCAGCCTGGGTAGGAAAGTCCATAAGACTTCTCACCAATGAACTCAAAAAAAAAAGAGCCAAAGTAGAGTTTTGGCTTAAGTGGTACAGTGCTAGCTTTGGGCAAAAGAAACTCAGGGACATGGGCTGGGAAGGTGGCTCAGTGGTAGAGTGCTTGCTTCACATGTATGAGGCCCTGGGTTCGAATTCTCAGAAACCACATAAATAGAAAAAGCTGGAAGTGGCACTGTGGCTCAAGTGGTAAAGTAGTAGCCTTGAGCTGAAGAGCACAGGGACAGTGCCCAAACCAGGAGTTCAAGCCCCACGACCAGAAAAAAAAAAAAAAAAAAACAGCTCAGGGACAGCGCCCAGCTTTGAATTAAAGTCCTAGGACTGGTGGGCATGCACATGTGTGTGTGTGTGTGCACATACACACAGACGACTAGAAGAGGAAAACAACAAACATAAATTTGATCTGGATTTCCATTGGCTGAAAATTCATACTGAATGCAAGTTTTCATTGATCACAAGTAATTTTTTGGTTAATATGCAAAAACATTTATTGAATATTTTCTATTTGGCTTGTATTACTTAAGGCACTTTTACATATATCTCATCACAACCCTTCTAAGAGCCCTGTGAGGTAGGAATCAGTCCCATTTTACAGAGACCTGGCCAAGGACGAGATTATTGCTTTATATCCTCTGCCTGTCACATGTCCCCATTGGCTAGAGGTTTTTATTAGCTGGTGATTCACCATCAAAAGAAGTTTCAGTGGCCAGTAGTAATTCCTATCAGTTGCTCTGGTTCAAATAATCAAAATGCTAGAAAATTTTCCCCGTAGGAGTGATAGAGATGGTAAGAGGACCAGTAGATCTGTCACTGGGAAGCACCACTTGTTTGTTCTGGTCACCTATACAAGGTGATGGGGAAGGGAGGGGACAGGGAATTTGGTCATAAGTCTTCTCGCTTCTTCAGAATGAGCTTCGCCACTAGGCTTGTGATATGAGGCCTGATTTCCTCCACAGACACAGTCGGGTCCCATGCTCCTACCACCTTTCCATCTGGGGCTACGAGGTACTTCCAGAAGTTCCAGGTGGGCTCTTTTCCAGAAGTATCTTAAAAAAAGGAGGGAAAACAAAGTGTGCTTCTCTGTGTAATTCCACTATCAGTATAACACCGATACCCATCCACACCCCAGAACCACTGAGAATAAGACTCAGGTATTAATATTTTTCAAAAGCTCTCCAAGAGGCCCCAGTGTGAAATCAAAGATGAGCTTTAGAATTCTGTGATATGCCTGATAAAGAATGCTTTCCAGCCGGGCGCTGGTGGCTCACGCCTGTAAAGGAGGCTGAGATCTGAGGATCGCAGTTTAAAGCCAGCCCGGGCAGGAGAGACCGTGAGACTCCTATCTCCAATAAACCACCAGAAAACCGGAAGTGGCACTATACCTCAAGTGGTAGAGTGCTCGCCTTGAGCTGAAGAGCTGAGGGACAGCGCCCAGGCCCAGAGTTCAAGCCCCACAGCCGACCAAAAAAAAAAAAAAAA